TATCTATCTATCTATCTATCTATCTATCTATCTATCTATCTATCTATCTATCTATCTATCTATCTATCTATCTATCTATCTATCTATCTATCTATCTATCTATCTATACTGTATTTATGGTTTTTTTTTCACATGGTGGCTTTGAGACTAAACCACTATCCATATCCAATGATGGGAAAACTGACCAAGATTACACTTTTTCAAGTATGAGTTTAAACAAAAATCCACCGTGTGATTGATCAAACACAAAGCATCCAGCTTTGTCCAGCTCATCCAACCCAACTCTCCTTTATGACCTAACCAGTCCTTCATTCATTTTGACAAGAACACAGAGGGTGGGTTCTGAACCTTTGCAGGACGACTGACTGCAGTCTTCACTAGCAAGTTCAACATCTCATTGGAACAAGCCACAGTCCCTATCTGCTTCAAATCCAGCACCACTGTTTCCGTCCTGAAGACAGCAGTCATATCACTGAACATCTACCATCCAGTGGCCCTAATGCCCAATGTATCAGAATGCTTAGAGTCCGAGGTGATTGGAAATATCAACCTTATGGTACAACAGCATGGGACTACAGTGGCACCTCAGACCATAAGAAAGCCCTCTAATGCATCATCTGGACTCGCGATGGGCATCCATCTCTCAACATCATAGGAGATCCATTTCGCCTGGTGTGCACAAAGAGCGAATAAATGTTGCTTTTCGTTTATAAAGTTTATGGTGCGGTCTGGTCCCAAAGATTTTTTTTAAAAGCATCATCATGGTCTCATAGGAACATGTATTGAATACACTGGACACAATCATCACAGGTATTACCAAAACAAAATCATTAATCAACCATGTTTTGGACTGCGAAAGGAAGCTGGTAGTGCTCTTAGATCACCGACGCATGCCCAAGAAGATATCTAGACAGTTACAAGTTCAGTAAACCTGTAGGTTAATCAAGTCCGTAGTTCTGTAGCCCTTTTATACCTTAATAATTATACAAAGATCTACATTCAGTACTATCTTTGTACCTATCAGGGTACTGTCATGAGAAACAGAAAAGTTAAAAATAAAAGTTGTGGGTCTATGTGTGACTAATAGTTACAACATGCTCAACTAAAAAAAAACAGCTAAATAGATACATTGCTATAAAATATATGGATATGGATAATATATGGAAGTTGCAGGATATACTAGTCTTTTTTTTCCAGTTTTTCAAGTCTGTCTGCCTGAAATCAGGAATGATTAGCCTGATGTGAAATAAACTTGTAGTTTTTGTTTTTAAGTTATTGAAATATTTGTTTTCCTTCTAAGGTGGATGTTGTTCATTATTAGAACTATATTAATAAATGCAGATATGAGATGAAGACTAAAGCCATTATTAGCACACTTTCAGCCACAAAGGAACTCCCCCTCCAGCATAGCCTTTGGCTGAAATGAAACCTGTAGATACTCAGCCTTCTGTTACACTAAGCTGCTAGTCCCAGCCTCAACATATATATTAACTTGTCAGAAAGACTAATTCTGAAGTAGAGGAGCCTGCTCCCTATGCTCTCAGCCTTTTCCTTTTTAATACAGCAGGAGTAGATAGGCTATTGCAGCAAGTACTATAAATTAATGTCCTCAAATATAACCTGGTTCTCTACAGTGAATCCACCGTACCATATAAAGCTTTACCACAATATATTTTACATAAACAGCCACTGAGTTTGACCCTGACAAACTGCTGTTCACTGAGTCAGAGATCTTTTGTCCTGTGCTCTTCTAGTGGCATGTAGTTTCACAATTTTGTCTGAGCACATAGCTTTTATACTTCCTTTTTCTGAAAATGCTACACCTGCCAAAAATGATTGGTTAGATTGGTGGAGTTGAATTAACTCTAAATTAAATAATTAAATTTCATTCATATAGTGCCAAATCCAATAAATGTTATTTTAAAAAATAGCGTCCAAATCGGTTAGAATCCAATTACTTCTGATACAACCAAAATTCAATAAGGTAATTAAATTCCAATTGTTTCCAAATTTATAAAGATCTGATTTTTTCAAAAAGTTCATGCTCTATGAAATCTGGCAGAATGGACAGAATCTTCTCTTCGGCTGTTCGTATATCGCCAGATTAGGGAAATTATGTAGTCATGCGGCAGCTATTCTGTGGAAGGCATATCACTTATCTGGATATCAGAATGTTTAGATAACTAAAACAGTGACACTGGACTGACCAAAGACTGTGATCGGGGAGACATGCAACTGTCATCATGCTACCTGCAACATGTTTACATGTGGAAGTCACGTTTTGTATAGCCTCTACGAGATAGTATTACAGAAAATATTAAACAACATATAAACAAGAAGCTGTCTATTAAAGAAAAAATATTGAAACCAAGAAAAAATACAGTAATATGATGTGCAACTTAGTATAGTT